TAGATCTCATTAACAATTAATCTATTAAAAAAGATCAGATTTATCAGGTGACTGAAATAACCAATGCGTCCTACAAATATTCCCTTTCTTATCAAGCAAATCCCAAAGGAAAGCAGTCATTAAGCAATATTCTGCATTCATTGATAGAAAACTGTTGCAAGAGATTATTTAAGTACGAGGTGAAAATCTTTCGAAGCTATTATTTTAAGATTATATATATACTATCCTAGTACCATCCTAGTCCCAAGCATTTATTTGAACCGCAAATTGTTGCTATAGCATTTTTCACTCATAAACTAGAACTGATTGTTTGTGTATCCAGTACTCCGTTTCCCCCATTACCAATGGTGTTTTTCCGTGTCAATACTGTTGCTGTCTGCTGCGTGGTCTGGTCTTGTATATATGAATGAATGTCTGAAATTTAATAACAATCGTGAACTGGTGATCATTGGTCTTGAGTGTTTTCTCTTCATTCGGGGATAGTTAGTATTGGGCTAACCACCAAGCATTAGTATTCCTCGTCCTTAGTGTGTATTAGTTGCTTAAGGTCATCTATGGATACTAGCACGTTACAACAAGACCTACGTTCCAAATATTTTGCCTTTACTCTGAAGGCATCTAAATGACTTTTTATCAATTACTTATGATTTAAAATCTCTGTAAGATAAAAATGTCATGAATAAAGCAACGCAGGAAAATGATATACCTTTGTGCGACAAACTAAATCACTGTTGGAAAATAAAAAAGTTGGCGAGTTCATTTTTCACACTTTCCACGAATTCTCAGTACCATATAATCAGGAATTATTATGCCATCATCTTTTTTTATTTGTTAATATTAAATTCATGAACCCGTTGACATATATTTATTAATAGATTTGTGAAATTTAAAGATAAGCTGATGATGATGAAAGAGAAAACAGAATTTCGGATATATCTGTACCCAAAATATGATTTAGGGAACTACCCATAACCCTTTTCCGCGTAGAGTTCATGCAAATGTCTATTCCCTTTGTTATAAGTCACATTTCATTTTTTTGTTAAGAAAGTATTCACATGATCAACGTAGACGTACGAAACCACAATAGTACGAAGAAAATCATAAAACACAAATAAAACTAAACTTATTATTCCTTTTTCTCATCAGTCAGTCAGCTACAACGTAGGACCAGGCATATATGCACATACGTCCTAGTTGACACACCGCATTAGCACAACAAGATGAACACCAGATTCATAGAAGTAGTTAATTCAGTGGTGATAATATATAAAAGAAAGATCACATATAAAAACATAGTACAGGAAAAAAGAATTAATTTGTAGAGAGAAATCTAAAGCGATTTTAATCTCATAGTTTAAGGGAAGACAAAGAGTGCACACACCGACGCCATTGTGATCGATTCTGAGCCATGTCACCCAGAGTCTCCAACCATTGGTTACGATAGTCACGCCGATCTCAATTAATTAGTCTGCATCTACCGACATGGCTCAGACTAGAAGTTAGTGACTTCAATGACTGATGTCACGTTTTGGTTTGGCCACCCCCAACTTTCTTCCAATCACCCTCAACACTAGTCAGCATTACGCGTCGTGGTAGTCGGTGTTCAGGCATACGTAACACGTGGCCCAACCATCTCAGTCGATGAAGATTCACAACCTCATCGACAAGGATAAGTGGTGACTTAAATAACTAAATCATCCGTAATTTTCTCAGGTGTATGAAGACTAAGGTCTTCATAGACGCTTACTGATCACACACATGTTTTATTAGTGGTTAGTATATAAAAGAATAGCAAAACACAAAACTATATATCGATCATGATATCTTTCATTAAAAATGAAAATAATACTACAACTAAGAGTGGGATCGAACAGATAAGCTGATACTAAATCTAACCTTTAATTAACAAGCTAATAGTTGGTTTAAATCGGATTATATGTTTTAGTGACATTTATTTTACCAGCATCAATTTATAATTTACCAAAACCTAATTATTCCAAATAGTTTTGGTGTAATAATAATAATATAGTTTAGTATATTTTGATTTTTCCTGTTACTTTTAGCAATGTGGACCATTCTTCCTTATTTATCTTGATCTAGTGTTGTCCATATGCCGAATTCAAAGAAAAATTCCAAAAAATTTATTTACTAAACAAAATATTTCATATGATGATGTTGAAAATGATAAACATGACATTTCAAAGATCAACTGTAATCCGCCGATTGAAAATATCTCAAATGGGCTGAACAATAAAACATGGGTAAAAAATGACTAACTACTCATTGAATTATATATTTTTTAGGAAAATTTTAACGTCCAGATATTACTTAAAGATAACTATATACTTATAAGGGGATATACATACATATATATAATTCTTTATGAATAGTATTTGTATATAAGTAAGTGGCCTTGGTTTAATTTGTTTTTGGTGTCTTTTATTTTTCTTTATTATTTATCTATTGACCATATATTAAATTAATTTTCTTGAATTTATGTAATTCATAAATAGAACTTCTTTAATGCTTATGACAAAATCAATGAAACATTTCTAGTAAGATTTTATTAGTGAAAATAATAATAACAATAATAATAATGGTTATAGTATTATTTCAAGTAATTAGTGTTTATTAATTTGCATATTGTTGTCATGTGATATGAGACTGATAGGTTCAGATGAGTAGTTTAGTTGCTAACATTAAATATGATGGTATATGAAATTGTAACCAAATGAAACTGATTAAAAATTCGTTAGGCATTAATTTATCTCAATAATGATAGTTGAAAAATTGATTTTGAGCATTCATGTATTAAATGTTATCAAAGCTAAGTTTTGCTGTTGAAAGAATTATGTATACAGAGCTTCGTGTTTCTTAAGAGATTTAAACTTACATCAGATACTGTGGTGATCTGAAATGATTGCATTTAGTTATATTCTTGCTTTTAGTACGATTCAATAAACAGTTTAATCAGTTGAAGTAAACAGTTTTATACCAACATATGTCTACTGATAACATTTTCTTATTGGTAACCTTCAAATGTTTAACTGCAAATACAAGTCGCTTCGGAGTTAAATTATAAGTGGATGGATTTGGAATGCGTTAAAAACCTTATCACTATATTGCCTTTGGTAAAAAATCACGTTGACTGATCTTCAAATATCAAACTATATATTCGGATTTTAATTACATTTTTATCAATGAAAGAAGCTGTGTATATGTTTCTCTGCTAAGTCTAATAAATGAGTATTCAAAATTAAATCCAATTACTCAAAAAGCGTTATCACAAATAATTATATTACATGTGCTCAAACCTACTATATAAATTGTACACTGACAGCGAAACAACTTTTCAATCACTTCTCAAACTTGTGAGATATGTCACTTGGTGATGTGTTGGTTAAAAACAGAGTTGATAGTATATTAATTATTCATTTGGTATCGCGAGAATAGAAACAATCTAAGCATTAAAACTAAGCTATTACAAAACCATTGTACATGTGAATATGGGTGAATTAATAAACCTCAACTATTTACTCTCACTGAAGTCTTCATATGTAATATGTCCAGTAAATATCCAATTTTAGGTCACACACTTTATTCTCCAAATATTAGGATATATCAGTCCTAGATCCCTTTAAACATACGCACGATATGTACAAATAGACTTGTATTTTCTGTATATCCATTGTTAAAAACATCCTTGGAAGTTCACATGTGTCAAGTTCGATTATGTACTAGTGATGATATACTCAAGTAGACTGGCGGTTTGAGTACTACTGTTATACTCACTGAACCATCTCCTTTTGAGTTTATTATACGATGTCAGCGAATGAAGGATAGTATTTGGACATAACTTTCCTTAACCCAAATAACTGAAATTGTTTCTACAGAGGATTACCCGAAAATTAATTTGATAGTAATCATCTAAACAGTTAATTGGCAAGCGTAACTCGTAGAAGATATATGTTTGATATTATTATTAACATAAGAGATCGATAGTCGTCCATGTCAAACAACTTTAGCACAGTCGTCTGCGTGTCTAATAGACATGCTTTCTCAGTTAAGTAGAACTCAATGCATATTTAACTTAAGTAAAGATTAGTACGACACAAGTTTTAAATCTCTACAATACACTTGTGTTTGAGCAAGTAGAGAAAGTGAACAGCACGCAACGTCTTACGGTTAGTAAGAAATTGGTAAATAGGTGTGCGTTTAGCTAAAACACGTTTTACACTGACAGTCATTTCGATCTCAGTTGATAAAGACGGTAAACAAAAGAAACGCAAATAAAAAAGCATTTTTTCTATAGATAATTTTGTTGTGTCAAGGAAAGTGCGAAAACTTAAAGTAAATTGGTAAGGCTCTTTTACATAAGCAAAGCTGTTTTAAAATGGAGGATGTAAACAACACGAAGCGACTTAACTATGATAGGCCTATCTATAATTTTAAGTTAGCTAATACGTTCACATATATTCAACCTCATACTACTCGTCACTTCAGCTGTGGACATGATGACTGTCAGGAATGATTAATTATTAATTAATATGGTCTTAAAGGTCGGTTAATCCAAGACTAAACAGAATAGTTTAAAATATATTACAACACTTACTCTTATTGTTAAATGTTTAATTCGATGTTGGTTTTTGGGAAAGCTGATTTGAAAGTTATTCAGATTAAACATTTCCCCCTTTCAAATTCATTAATCATTTTCATGTACAAATGAAACAGACTATTCAGCCAAAACACGTTCCACATAAATTATGCAAGAAAAATGTCAAACTTACGTGTATTTGTGTAAGAAGACTCAATTAATGAAAAGAAACGAATGATAACAATTAGGTATAACATATTTACGAAACAAATAGTAATTAGTCTAATATCAGTTATTATTTATTAGGATTAAATTACGTGATCACGTATAATCACTACATTATTTCTTTTTTAAATGATCAAATAGATTTGGAATATTATTAATCATAGTAATGTGATATACTTACATCTACACGTAAACTAGTTCGATATGTCAAGCCAAAATATTCAGTTTCTTGTAAATCTAATTGTTTGCAAACTTTTTCAAATAAATGAATCCCATGAGCATTTTTCTGGAAAAAAACAACATGAAAATAAACATAAATTACAAGAATGATGAAATTTGATATGATTGATTGTAAGTATTTACAATAGTTGAGATCATGAGTCGATTGAAGCTAGACCACAATGGAAAACCTAGAAGCATTGGATGACCGTTTCGTCCTATTATGGGACTACTCAGCAGTGCGCATCCACAATCCCACCTCGCGAGATTCGAACACAGGACCCATCAGTTTCGCGTGCGAGTGCTTAACCATTAGACCACTGAGCCGGCATCCAACAATGTTCATGTCTAACCTCAACCAAAATGTGCTATTTCTTAATATCAATGTTAGAGTAGTATATTACATAATACAAGTCGAAAATTGATTATGACAGAGGTTTGTGAAATTCGACCAGTGTTAAAGTGGTTTCTTTTTAATTATGAATTCATAGAAGTTATAGAATAATTGACCATGCTCAATACCAGTCACAGAAGTGGCGAGGACATAGATAAGTAATTAAAGTAGAAGAATATGATCCATATGATTTTAACGTAGCGCTCCATTGAACTCGTGACAAACACAAAAAATATTTTTATTTAAAATTAGGTATCCATGGTTGGCAATTCAAATAAAATATATTAAACAAAGATTCCGTGATACATCATTTTCAAAAAAAAATAAAACTCCCATCAATATATAACAAAAACTACAAATTTGACAATAAATGAACTAATTTCATATAAACACTTATTTATCAACCATAATTGTTTACTTTTAAAGTATAAAAATATAAGGGGGGTTTAAATTTACGAATAGCCAAGGCTTCAATAAACTTACAAATTCGTCCTTGACAAATTACTCAAACTACTCATACTCATAGTCCAAATTGAATACTTCTATTGATCATTGAAACTATTTATTGATATAAAAATTGTGATGTAAACTACTAATAAATTTGCTTAGTATTATCATTATAAATAACTTTGATTTATTAGATAAGAACTAATCAATGTTCAATTTACAAACAACAGTCCTCAATCAATAAAGCTAAGGTTTGTATTATATTTAAAATAGTAATAATAATATATAACACGAGAATTTATGTCATATTACTATTATAAAGTACGTGTTGAAACGTGTTTATTTGTAAAACTGTATGCTACTACTTATTATAAAGTAATTTTATGTTGGTTAGATAAATAAGCTCTTGGAAGTTTCTACACATTTTGAAGGTTAAAACTATCGGATAATAATTGATTAATTATAAAATTATTAATAATTACATCATATTAAAAATATAAGTTGCGATCAATAATTATGTGAAAGATAATAATATCGATTCATAAGTATTAATACAGATATATATATTTCACAGGTTGAAATCATGAGCCAATTGAAGCTAGACCACCATGGGAAGTCCTAGTATGGAACTCCCCAGCAATGCGCATCCACGATCCCGCACCTCAAGGAATTCGAACCCAGGACCTACTGGTTTCGCGCGCGAGCACTTAACCACTGGACCACTGAGCCGGTATCCAACGATGTTAATGTCTAACTTCAACCAATTCACGAAGTTGCGCCACCGTACACCATTGTCTTCAGTGAGCTGATATCTCACAACAGACCTGGTTGAACTCCACTGGTAACGGCTTTTCACTAGAACTCCAGGAGTATGTTCCAGGTTTTCCATGGTGGTCTAGCTTCAATTGACTCATGATTTCTACCTGTGAAATTTCTAAAAATCTCCACAAAACCCATTCTGAAAATATACATATGCTAATTCAAATCATTCATTAAGCACAAATTTGTCTGTTCAACTTGGAAATACTCGTTAATTTTATAAAAATCAATGATAGTATCTGAATCGAATTGAAAAGAACAGAGTTTGAGCCTAATTGCTAGTTGATTAAAAGCTTACTGGTTTGGTTGGTATATTATTATTATTTCAAATATTAAGAAGTAGTTCTACACAGAATAACATACATTTCTTGGTTTATTAATGAGATCGTAACATATGAGAAGAGAGATAAAATCATTTTGATACGAATACAATTAAGACTAATGTAAACAGAGAGTAATATTAAACAAAACGATTAGTTTCAATGCATCCAACATATGTTGTTCACAGAAAATTATATTTGTAAAAGTTGAAAAAAAAACAATCTTGCACACATTACAAGAAATTGATTTTTCAGAGTTCTCTTTAATGGTATACAATAATTTAATAGATGCATAGATACACAGTATACTGTTTTGGCAGAAAAGAAAATAATAATTCCAGTTGTTAAAATATTTAAACCCATCAAAATACCAAAATCTTCTAAATAAAATGAATAAAGAACTACTTCAGAATTTGCAACTTCTTATAAATTGAAACTGAAAATCCAAATTACAAAATGGGAATATGATTTAGGAAAATACAAATAGATTAAAATTTACTAATAAGATGTAAAACCTTTACATATTTGGACAGAATCATTGATGAACACCGTGGATCTCATACAGATGTGAAGGTGCTGATCGGAAAACCAAGAACAGCATATCTACAACTGAAGAACATATGGAACTCAAAACAACTGTCAGGATTTTCAATACGTGTCAAAACAGTTCTACTGTATCGAACGGAAAACTCGAGAACTACCACAACCATCATCCACAAGATACAAGTGTTTGTTAACTGTTGCCTACGTAAAATACTTCGCATCCGTTGGCCAGACATTATTAGTAACAACCGACTGTGGGAGAGAACAAACCAGATCTCAGCAGAGGAAGAAATCAGGAAGATGCACTGGAAGTGGATAGGACACACATTGAGGAAAGCACCGAACTGTGTCACAAGACAAGCTCTCACATGGAATTTTGAAGGCCAAAGGAGGAGAGGAAGACCAAAGAACACATTACGCCGGGAAATGGAGATAAACATGAGGAAAATGAACAATAGTTGGATGAAACTAGAAGAGAGCGCCTAGGACGTAGTGGGTTAGAGAATGCTGGTCCGTGGCTTATGTTTCATTGGGAGTAACAAGCGTTTGTAAGTAAGTATATAAATTGGGACAATGAATAAGTTAACATTATTGATTAGAGAGAAGACTAATTTTTGTTACCAGTGTGATGTACTTGACCTGATGTCGTATATATATATAGCATTGATTAATACATTGAAATAACCCTCAATTTATAACTAATCAATAAATGAATTCTTTTAGTTCATTACAACTAAAAGATTTGGAATATTTCGTGACATACAGATAAATCAGACATATTAACCTCCTGACTACAAAAATAGGAAATACATAATAACAAAAAAAATTTAATTACATATGCTTTCCTCTCTAAATCTTTTCTTTTTTTTCCGTTGTGCAATATGTTTTAAGTAAAAAGGGTGTGATTGAATAAGAAGAGAACTTTATATGTAATATAAGGAAATAGATTATATCAGTTTGACCTTTTTAAGTATGGATGAATAATAATGAGTATATTTGGCTAATGTATACATTACTGACCTATTTTTATTATTCATCTGAGTTATAAGTAGTCGGATATATATAATATACAGACAGACAGACAGAGAGTTTATTACATACATGCACAAACAATATACATTTGATCAGAAAAACTACAGTTATATAATTTAAAAGTGATCTATAATACAGATGAAAATCAATTGAGAATACATATAAAATGTAGATCTCATCGAACATTTATTTTGTTCTAGTTGGAGATAACTCATTTGTACTCAGCCAAACAAAATGGAACCCAGCCCTAAATATCAGAGCGGAAAATATTTAATTCCAGACACTGAGTTGCTATTAATTGGTTCATATTATTAAGATGAATTAATTTCCAGAATAGCGTGCAGATGGTCTCTACATAGTTGACTTCTTCCAAGCAACTGTTTCACTCTAGAACTCTTGGCAATTTATTTTGAACTTCAGTAATAATGACCATATGATTATTACTTATTTTATTAGTTTTATAGAGTTTTGGGTAATTCAGTGATAATCTTTATAATGGACCAAAAGATTACACTAATACGATATTCATTAAAAAATTAAATCACTTTATTAAATATTAACAGTCCAGTAACAAATAGTGTATTAGTTATAACTAACGTGGTCGGTAGATAAAACAATGGGCACAAAATATTTCTGATTTTTACTTAAAAATGAATAATATAAAAGAAACATCTTTCCTTCTGTAAGGCAAGTAACATTAACCACTTTAAGAGTCTAACAGAAACAAATCACGTGATTATGACTGGAACAATAATATATGCTATAATTTTGTCAGTGAGTCAAGGAGCATATATAGGGTAAGGACAAGATGAAATTATGATGAATTATTTTGCTTTTTAAGCCACGAAAACTCCGCCTGTAGCTATTATAGGATTACTCTCGGTTCGGGAAAGCTGAGATTCTTTGGATATCAGGAGGTCAATGCCACTTCTAACAACCGGAGCAACAATTAATGAAGGTACATGGAATGTCCAGACAATGTGGGAGACCGATAAAATAACTACAGAAATGAGGACATATAACTTGATGGTGCTCAGAATAAGTGAAACCCGCCGTAACCAAGCTGGACATGAACAAATAAGTTCGAGAGAGATGCTGGTCACGAAGAAGAAAGTGCTCTACATACTCAAGGAATTTCTCTGATGCTGTCCAACGTAGCATGTAAAACACTTGTGGGATAGGAATCTCATGAATGCACGACCATCAAAACATCCATCAAAGCAAAGGAGTAGGGGATCACAATATATGTTATCCAGTGCTATGCACCTACCAATGACAGCAACGAAGATCAGTTTTATGAGAGGCTACATTCGATCATAGTGAAGTGTCTAGGAAAGAACCTAACAATCTAGATAGATGACCTAAACGACAAAATCGGAATAGACAACACTGGGTATGAAAATATCATGGGACGACATAGACTAACTGGGATACTGGAATGAGAATGGTGACAGATTTACAAACCTGTGTGTATTCAACAAAATGCTTGTAGGTGGCACAATTTTCCCATAC